GTTGGGGGGGGGGGGGGAGTCCCTCCATTGTGATTTAATGTTATGAAGATGGGGTGATGTTGGCAATTGGGTGACAAAGGAATTTATCATTTCTGGAATGATTATTAATTAATTTATTTATTTCTTCTGTGTGTTTTTTTAAAGATAAAATTGGATTTGATGGAATCTACATTTCCTTTGTGTGAGACTTTTCAATCAAAGTGAGAGCGATATGATATTATGTCTGAATGGTAGGGTCCTTAGTGAAAGTTGATGTGTCCCATTCCATGTCTCATATCTTTGTTGCCGAAATAAAGTTTACATGATATTAGAATTTCCTTGTTTTTTTATATTTCCTTTTTAGTTTATTTTTCTTAATTTATATTATGCAATTAGGGTTTCTACCAAACCCTAAAACTTGAATAGTAACAAAAGTCTCCAATATTATTATACTAAAAAACATATTGTACAAAATATTTAAATGTGGTTATAGTTATATCATCTCTCTTTGTTATTGATCCTTATGTGACATTTCAAACTCTACTTCTCTTCTTCTTTGTTGTTTTTATTTTCTTCTTCTTCAATGGATCGTGTAACTCATTTTAGATATTTGTTTTGGACTTGCAGCTGTACGGACACTAAGACATTGAACAACAACAAGAGACCATATGAATATTCTCACAGTGGTTTCGGCGACAACACATCGGACAGTGGTCACATCCTTAGGAGCTTCTTCGACGACTGGCCACGTGGCAGTGGTGGCGGCGGCGGCGATGCCACATCATCGAGCACCATGAGCTCGGCCACGTGTCTGTCCATCTCGATGCCCGGGAACAACCCCTCTGACGTCTCCTTGAAACTCTCCACGGGCAACGGAGAAGAAACTAACGGTAACGGTAATAATGGTAGGGAGCATCAGAGCCGGTGGGACGGGACCCACCACCACCACCAGATGGGGGGCCCATTGGCGGAGGCGCTGAGATCATCGACGGTGGCCACGTCATCGCCGACGAGTGTACTACATCAACTTGGGATTGCAACAAAAACCTTCCATTGATATGTTTGTCTGTTTTTTTTTTCATCTTTTAACGTTTGTTTTTTTAGTTGTGTTCTGTTTCGCTCGTTTTGGATGTTTTGATCGTTTTGTATTTGTTTTCTCTCGATCGATTGATCGAAAACTGTAACATCGCTTGGTTTGATCTAGGGGTGGTCATTTCGGTTATTAACCGAATAATCAAGCCGAATCAAATCGAATAAGAAATATTCGTATCCAAACCAAATCCGATATCAAAATCGAACGGTTATGATTTTTTTAAATCCGAAAAACCGAAATCGAATCTAATAAAAAAAATAATCGAAAAACCCGACAATTTTTTTTTAAAAAATAAATTTTTTATCGAAATTGAATCACCGAAGTTTATATAAAAATCAAATGTTATAGTTTTTCTATAACCAAAATAACCGAACCGGAACCGATATCTCAAATTTCACATTAAGTTTTTTTAAGTACAATATGCAAACTAGCGAAAAGCCTAAAGGAAGATTATCAAGTGCTGCGATATGCTGCAAGTGAAGGCAGGACAGGACAGGACAGAGCCCATCGATCTGTTTGGTTTCCAATGTCAAACTCGGAGTCGAGGTTGGGGGAAGAACAGAAGATATATAGAGTGTGTCGCTGGTCGGTTTTTCGACGTTCGGGGAAGAAGAGCATTGATCATTTTCTACCGCAGTTCCGCAAGGCGAGTACGCCATGGACGGATCATCCTTCATGCAACAATTTTGGTTGCTTAATCTCTCGAGAATGGATCGGTTAGAATCAGAACACACGTTAAGGCCTTACAGAGGTGAAGAGCTAGGCCGCAGAATCAAACATGATCTGAAATGTATACATCCCATGGAAGATAGATCATTTACTTAGTCGTCAACACCATGAAGAAGAAACTCTCACAAAGATTACGACAAAATTCATGTTTGGATTGCTTGAGTTGTTTTAGAACATGTTAGGATTATGTTGGAGTTGCTTATAAAAAAATCCTATTATTCTAGGAAAGGTTCTATGTTTATAAATATTTCTGTTATAAAAATAAAATAAATAATTCATTAAAATCAATTCGGTTCGCCCACCCAGTCTCTTTTCACCGACTCACTGAAACTCGTACGAGTTGCGGCCGATTCACCCTCGAAAAATATCGAGTTTCACGGAGCTCACTCGAGTTGCGCCCTAGTCCAGGGTCCATTTCACCCTCAAACGGTTGGTTTGCTCCGTTCTGACGGAAATCAGAAGCAATTGTCCGGTTCTCGTTAAACCGAACCGAAACCCTTCGACCGAGCTGGAGACTACGCTTTTTGATCGGATTTCGTTGGCCACCTGAAACTGAGCCTTCAACTCGTGCACTACTAAAAACAAGACGGAAGAAATTAGACCTAAAACGACAACATATGCTTTGAGGTGACTCGGCCTTCGTCTTCTCCGACACACCCGTGCATGCATGCATGCACGCACGCACTACGTTCTAATTTCTTCACTGAATGTGCAGACCTCCGCCGCTCCGCGTCAATTAAATTTTATAATATACTTTTGCTTTTCTAATCTGAATTTGTCTGATTAAAATGCTGAAATTGTAGCCTACGTTGGTATTATTTGATTTTGAACAAACATTACAAAAGAAAAACCCACTAGTTAGTTGTCCACTGGTTGAAAAATCACTTCAAAGTCCTGATATCAGGAGGTAGGATGAGATACAATTAATTGCGTGACTAAAAACTGATTCTAGATTTAGAAGATTAAGTGGGTCGAAGTCGCGTGTTTTTAGTTACAAAATAAAAACATTAGATTTGGTTTTAGTTTCCTTTTTGTTCAAATTATTTTTTTTATGAATAAATTTTCGTTTAAAGTTCAGATTCCATACAATCGGTTTCGGAGAAATTGAAACCAATTGATTAAAAAAAACATTTTTAATTCGAATTAGATTCACTTTTATTTCACTTGGACTTGATCGGTTTGATTAAATGTCATGTCACCAAATAGTTACAAAAATCCAACAAATTTGTTTTTTAAGCAATTTGTCGAACAAATGGGCCCACAAAATTAATAAATTAGGCCAAGACGTACACATTGTTGGGTCCAGCCCAATTAAATAAAATTTCGTCTTCTAAGTTTAGGCCCAGTTCTTCAGGAGCGTGACCCACACGCTCCTTGTTATGCCACGTCATCTCTTTACGCGTACTCGAGTGTCGTACAATATGTATGTGTATGTACATTTTTTTTTTGTGAGAGTGTACGTACATGTTCTCGACAAATCATATGCATTTTTTTCTCTTTACCCTTGACAAGAAAATTAGAAATTGGTATTTAACGAATTATAAAAATTATCTAGGGCGTGAATTAAAAGGGTGAAACGATTCTTATAAATAAAAAAAAGTAAAAAATCAAGATAAAAGCGATATGAAATTATAAAACCAGTAATAATTGCTTCCCATGAAGAAGCATGGACCACAGAGTGTTAATGTTGCATGAGAGTATTCTATCAAAATCTCAATTAGATTTATTTTTTTCTTATAAAAACAGTTGTTTATTTATTGTGTCCATGAAAATAAAATACTTCTTTTTTAGCATAATATAATATAATATGTTATAAAACCAACGTTGACATTGGTCTTTTATGTATTATTTCCATATCAAATACAGTGGAAGAAAAAAACAAATTATAACCCAAAAGCTTTAATGATTTAATGTTTTTAGTACCCTCTTTACCATTGTATACATCATATGTCACTTTATATTTCAGATTTATATAGATACATGTAGGGCTGGACCTTTCGGTTCGGTTCTTCCGAACCCAACCGAACCAAACCAAAAAAACGGTATTTTTTTCGATCCGAAACCGTTTTTAATTCTCAAACGGTACCATTTTTAGAGAATTGAATTTTTCTGGAATCGAACCGAACTTAATCCCGAAAAACCAAATATTTTTAAAGATAATCTATCCTTTTTTTAATAAAATCCGGAACCGAACCGAACCGATACCAAAACTGAGCCGAACCGAATACAATATAAAAACCGATTAGTACCTATTTTTGTAAAACCGAAAGAACCGAATCGATTCATTCCCGTCCGGAATCCGAACCGTTTTCTGAATTGCCCACCCGGAAATCACAATATGAAGTTACCCGTTTGCCATTAACTTATAATAATTTATAGAATTTTTTATATTAAATTTGGATAAGAATATAATAAAAATTTTGAAAAAAAAAAGAAAAAAAGAAAGAAAGCCAGCTAAGAGCTGTGGAGGACACATGGGAAGGTCTAATCAAATCATTGAGCAATGACAACAAAATAGGATGTCGAACGAGTCAACTCCACTCGGCACGAGTTTAGTTCACAGATTGATTCGGTTTTGAACGAACTAAAAAAATCTCGTCTCGATTTGGATCGTATGTTTCACGAGTCGGTTCATAAAACAAAAAATATAATATTTTTATTTGTATAATGAAAATATATATAAAATAAATGATATTTTAATTAAATTTTAAATATTAAAATATCATAAGTTATAAAAGAGGTTATGCACGTATCCAATAAAAATGAATTAAATATTTTTTTTTATAAAAAATATAAAAAAAATTAATAAGAATATAAAAATATATAACTTTTATAAAAAAAAATTACTTCAACTAACGAATTAGTTCGTGACTCGTCCAGTTTATTGACTACTTACCGCGAGCTGATTCAATTCGTTTCCAAACGAGTTTAAAAATGATAACTCAACTCGTTTAAAAACGAGTCGACGACAAATGAACTCGGGAGGTAAACTCATAAATTCACACCGTATAATAGAGGTTGGACTTGTGGGCTTATCTTTTTTCAATTCGACGAAAAGTCAAATTTTGTTATATCCAAATAAATTTAATTATTGTCTTCATTAATATTTGATATTTATACGTTCTTTTATAATAATTAGATATTTTGTTTCGAAGTTATTTTAAAACGTCGCATCTAACTGAAACCAATTAATAGCATACCTCGTATTTCAATTTGAGTAAAAAATAATTGAGTTATTATTAAATCAAATGAATAAAATATTAGTTAAATAAAAAATATATCTGAAAAATATATAGGAAAACAATTTTTTAAAAATAAATATTATTTTAATAAAAGATAGATTTAATCAAACCAAATAAAATATGAATTAAAAACATAAAAATATACGAAAATAAATAAAAATCATTTTTAGAAAATAAAATATCAGTTTAATAAATACATATTCAAATAAATAGACATGAAAATAAAAGCAGATTAAAATTCAATATAAAATCGAATAGATGCAATTCTTTAAAATCTAAATGATCATCTCTAATTTTACTACAAATACAATGAAATTTTAGGAGGACCTTTTAACGTAGGTTAGATTAAGAAAGTTTGTCATTGGTTGTGACTTGTGACGTTTGATGTGGATCTAACCAAGGAAGATACGCCGTTACATAAACAAAGACTTGTGTTCAATGAAGGAAACAATATATATATATATATATATACACTCTTTATATGTACTCTACCATCAAACAGTAAAAAGTTAAAAAAAAATTCACAAAAAGGAGAGGGGAGGAAGGGAGACAGGTAACATCAGAAACTCCACATGGCCTCAATAAATAGAGGCAGAGAGATACAGCCTAATTCAGAATGGCAAAAATATCAGTCTTATCTGACAAAAGGAAGACATGACACAAAAGCTTCAAGCCTGGTGATGTGTGTGTGCGCGCTTGCTTTGTAAGAGAAAGAGACAGCAAATGTAAGAGAATGGTGCAATCTGCAAAGAAATATAAGCCGACTTGTGGTGATGATGTGTAACAATGAGCATCTCTCACTCGGTTTTTTTTTTCCCCCAACTTACATTGATGATGAAACACAGACATATACACATTTCTGTGTCCTTGGGGGATGAACCCTAATGATCCATTTATCTGTGTCCCCATCATATAACAATGACAGTTCATTTTTCAGTGAAACCCTCCCTCTGCTGCTGCAAGTGAAGAATGACAAATAACTACAAAAAGGGCTTCACCATCTCCCATCTGAATCTTGTGAACCATATTGTTTCTATACCCTAAATGTAACTCACTGTGGCCCACGACTCTAAATACACTACTCACCCTCAGAAGCAAGATCATCTCTTCTGTAATACTAACCCTATACCAAATCTCACAAGCCCACAGCAAAAAGACACACCTCTAAAAGGTAGCTTTTGAGGGCAGGTTGTAAAAATGGGTTAAACCCACTTCTAATATTCAACCATTGTGGAGTAATAGCCACGTCTTACAGCCGCGATTAATATGGTTAAGAAGCAATCAGATGCTTATTTGGCTCGCGATGGCCGTTGCTGCAGGATATTACATGCTTGCCCGTCCATGATTTGAGGTTGTAATAATCCACAGGACAATAAGAGGCATACGAGCACAGATCACAATGGTAAAAAGTCATAAAATCATAACTGGAACCGAGAAAGGATAAAGCTTTGGAGGGACAAGCTTTTCTACAGATCAAATCAAAAGCATATTTTAGAATATCCATACGTAAATCATAAACGGAGATCACACCTTAGACCGAAGAAGATTGAGACCCATGCCTCTGCTTCATATCTTATCTTTGCTCTTCATGTGGGGTCTTAACCTTCATGAACTTCACTGCTTCAACTGATAGAGAACCGATGACTTTGAGAACTTGTAGCAAAAAAAAAAAGTATTCTTTTTTATTGCACTTGTAATCATGCAGGTGCATGTTCGTACAGTTTCGTATCAAGATGCAACTCTATGTGGAAAATAACAGAACCGCACGGGTGAGCAAAAGAAACTTAATTTGTTCATATATATTCATTTAAAAATGCCCATCTCAGCCCCTTCGGCCATAACTCATCTCCAAACATTTAATGATCTCTACGGAACTTGAATATTCATGTATTTCCGAGCCTATATATACACTTGTCCTGCACTATTTGTACTTCCATCCACAGATATCTTATTCTTTCATTGCAAAACTATTCTTAACCTTCCTCCGACTCAAAAATGAAGACCAAGTTTATAAAAGCATGCGAAAACAAGTTGAAAATGATGAAGGGCAAAGTCGTGATACCTTGTACGTCCTGCGAGAGTTGCTGCGAGAGGATGTGTTGGCCATTCAAGAAGGAAACCGAGATGATACCGAAGGACGTGCCAAAGGGTCATTTGGTTGTGTATGTGGGCGAGAATTACAAGAGGTTCGTGATAAAGATCAGCTTGCTTAAACACCCGCTCTTTGTGGCATTGCTGGATCAAGCTCAGGATGTTTACAACTTCACTACCAACTCCAAACTATGGATTCCATGTGATGAAAACACATTCCTCGACGTTGTCCGTTGCGCTGGTGCTCCTCAGCATCAGAGGATCTGCATGTGCCTGTAGGAAAAAAGGTTTCTTAAACAGGGAATGTTAAGAAATTCTATTGATTCATCCATCTCTAAGTTCCCTAGAGGATGTTAATGCTTACATAATGCTGTAAACTAAAGTAAAAAAATTTTGTATCATAAGTATTGTTTAAATGTGATTAGATTCTACTCCATCACAGTTTCTCCTGCATACAAAGAGTAAGGTAAAAAAAGACTTCACAGCTAGCCACTGAATATGAGAGATTAAAGCTTGGAATGACTTAGATGGCAGGTAGTAAAATATCTAATTTTTCACACATTAGGACAACGAACAAACCGGAGATCTTGAAAGCGAAACTTCTGACAAGAGGTGCCTCAAATGCTAAGAGCAATGACTTGAAACCCATGTCTGACACAGCTGTTGTTAGAACTGCAACAAAATATCGCAACAACTTCCAGGGCTTTGTCTATAGAAACTTCTAAGGCTCTGTATTCAATGAGCATGGCTTCACCCTATCATCACCAGAATGAAAACAACAGGCCACAGATCATATGATTGTAAACGCCAACAGCTAAGACGCTACATCATCAAGAACTGGAATTGATATGTAAGGCAACTGGTTTTGTCAGTACTTCTGTTACTTGAATAATTGACAGTAATCACGATTGGCAAGCCAAAAGGAAATGGGAAATGGAACTAATGAAAGGTTATGAACATTAATATTGCTAAAGCTAAGGGCTTGAATATGAGGGTCTAAAAACCCATAATATAACCACTGAGTGACTAATACCCGGTTATGATCTATCACAGACTGCATAGCCAATTACTTCAAATGAGAACTTCACATAAAAGGATCAAAATGTTTGAACAAAAAGGGGCAAAGCTAAGTACATTTTGATGTGGAGAAGCACATCAAAAGGTCTGATCTGTTCGCAACATCAAAAGACAGGTTGCTCAATTGTCTTTTTTATGTCAATAACTGCAGCAACATATACACAATTGTTCTAGCAATGCATGAAAACCTAATCCTTTGAAGCCAAAAACTCATCCTACGACACGATGAATATCATCTCAAACCATTGATCAAGCCTTCCAATTCTCTTCTCCCAAATCTTCTACCTGCCATACGGGCATCTTTACTCCTAGCTGCTAAGTAGAACACTAACCAAGCCACCGTGAAGTAAACCTCCATGGCCGACTGGAAAAAAGCAGCAAAGCCTCTCCCAACAGCTCGAATCAGAACCCATCTGAAAAAAGACCCACAGAGTATGGCTTCTAGACACTTTAGCTGCACTGCTTGATTCAACAAGAGGGATATCAAATACAGACCTTCCTTCACTATCTCCCTTCCCCTTCTCCTCGAATCTACAATGGCAACATAAGCATCGACAGCTAATACCAAACCGATGATCGCATCAAGTAGGAACCAAGCGAACAGGAAACCAGATATCTCCTTCTCAAAACCTCGAATCCATGGGGGCATAACGGTGAAAGGCATCAACTTCAGTCTCACAACGAGCCTGAAAAACGAGTACTGATTCTCGATTTCTCCAAAATACCACAAGCCCAGAAGCTGTGTCAACGCATCTCTCACTGTCCATCTCATCAAAATGAACCCTGTAACTCTCTTAAACCCTAATCTTGAACCAGTCCAGACAACCCGGAAGAACGAAGAGAACCTCCCAATGAAGTCATTGATCACAGTGACAAAAACAATCGCTACGATCAACGAGTATACGGTCGTGAACCCTAGAATCACCCATCCATAAGCAGCAGAGAGGAAACTCACCAGGAAGAACAGAGCAACGGCGTCTCGGCGACCCAGCTCCAACCCTCTAATAAGCAGCCTCAGGTCAACAATACTCTCGAATTCCTTCTCGTTCTTCTCGCCGCGATACTCTTCGTTATTGTCGCGATCGCGCTCAGATTCATCGTACTTCATCTCCTTCTCGCCGCCATGATCGTCCACCGAAGACGACTGGCGGAAAACGACGCCCGGTCGGACGATCTGAGGGATGAAGAGGCCGTTGTCGGCAATGGGGTGAGAAAACCCAGAAATACCCTCGAACCCGGAGAGAAATACGGAGGTGCCATTGACCGGGAAGCCGTGGAGGTATCGGCGGTCGTCGTCGGTGGAGAAGAAGTCGTCTTCGAGGGTGCCGATACGAGTGAGGTGGAGAAAAGGGGGACGGCGGAGGCGCGTGGAGGACGCGTGGGGAGAATGGTGGAGAGAGAGGCGCGTGAGGAGGGAGTGGAGGGCAGGGTCGCGGTCGATGAAGGAGGTGAGGAGGAGGGAGCAATGGTCGACGAGGGAGCGGAAGGAGAAGAGGAGGAAGGTGAGGAAGAAGAAGGTGAGACGGTGGGAGGTGAAGGACGACGTAGTTTGGCGGAGGATCTCCGTCGTCGTGCGGAGGCGGGTCAGCCTTGCATCGTAACGGCTACGGTGGTCGTGATCGTTCATGGCGGATTCTTCGAGGATTGTGGTTTGACTGTCGTCGGTTGAAGAGCGATGGGAAAGGAGGCGATTAGCGATTGCACTGCACGCGCTCAAATTGAGAAACTTTAGTTCGTATGGACCTCTCTTCTGGGCTTTCAAAATTAGGCCTTTCATTTTTTCTCCCCTATTTTGCATTTACATTCTGCGTTTTTAATTTTTTTTTTCAGTCTGTTTAAAAATGGATCAAACGAGTGTTAGTTTATACGAGTTAGTGAACTCAGAAACCAATTTTGACGAGTCACGGGTTGAGTCAATTTATTTTAAACTTTGTATTGCTTTTTAGTTAATTTTCGTCTGATATTTGTTTTCAAAAATCTGATTTTTGTTATTAATGAATTCATAGACATTAATAATATTTGATATTAAATACTCGAAAATAGAATTTTCGTGTCTTACTAAACTAATACTCTCTCCGTTTTATTTTAGATGTTGTTTAATATTTAAACACATAAATTAAAAAATAATGATTTATCTAAAATATCTTTATTTATTAAATAAAAAATTGATATTTCTAAATATATAGAACATTTAAATATTATTAATTCATGATAAATTTGAAAAAAAAAACATTAAAAATTATATGAAAAATCTCAAAAATCACTTATTTTGAAACACAAATATTATTGTAAAAGTTTCAAATATTATTGTAAAACATAATCTAATCTCTTAAACACAGGAACACAATTTTTCTTAAGATTGAGTTATAGTATAAAGTGTCCAGATACAAATATAAAAAATCTTCAGATTTAACATGGGGAAAAGTTTCTTACTATAGAGACTTACAATATGTTACACATAAATTTAAATGATACATATCATAACCGTTATTCAATTTCATCACATACATATATATAAACAAAAAAAAACCCATAAAATTTTGTGTTCCTAACATATAGGAATAGGAGCTCCGTTCCACTGGTTGAGACACTCCAACATAGGATCAATGATCTTCCCTTGGCACATGGCCGTGAAAACCTTATCGAATTCCTCTCCCGGTGACCGGACTTTCTCTCCCGTGAGCAACTCCGTCCCTAACTCTTCCCTCACGAATCGGTACAAGGGATAAGATCTGCATTCCTTGATCCTGTTCGGTATTGTCATCGTCCCCTTCTCGTAGGCTGCTCTAACGGCGTCCACTTCTTTCGGTAACACCATCTTGATCTCCTCCTCGAAAGCTCCGATCTTGTGGAAGATCGATGTCAACACGTTCTTCTCGTTTTCACCGTTGGACAATGCGTGGTCCACCAGGGTTTGTCTCAGTTTCTGGATTAGAGGGTATGTCGCACTGCAAGGGTCGTCTGCATAGGTGAAGACGTGTTCTCGGTCCACGACCTTGAGTAAATCCTTCTCGCAGAAGCGAGATGGGTGGAGTTCCCCATTGATTCCGGTGGTTAGCACTTTCTTGGCTACTTGTGAAACCGTGTTCTTCACGGTTTGTTTCAGATTCTCTTCCAAGTGCCTTAAATCCACAGCTTGGCACAAGGCGACGAGGAATGTTGTTGACATGAGCTTTAGAATCTCCACAGATTCCGCGGTTTTGCGAGATGAGATCAATCCGAGGGAGTTCACGTCTTGGTTGTGTTGCTCTGCGGATTGAACATGGCTGGTGACGGGGTTCGCGAGGTATTGAAGCTCGGAGCAGTAGGAAGCCATGGCGATTTCAGCTCCTTTGAATCCGTAATCCAGGCTAGGGTTTCTTCCCGCTGTCAGATTGGAAGGGAGCCCGTTGTTGTAGAAATCATTGACGAGCTCGGAGAATTGAGCGAACATGAGTTTCCCGATTGCAGCGATGGCGAGACGAGTGTTGTCCATGGAAACTCCGATTGGTGTTCCCTGGAAGTTCCCTCCGTGAAGCGCCTTGTTCCTGGAGACGTCGATTAAGGGGTTGTCGTTGACAGAGTTGATCTCGCGCTCGATCGATTTCGTCGCATGACGAATCACTTCGATCTGAGGGCCGAGCCACTGTGGAGATGTACGGAGAGCGTAACGGTCTTGTTTCGGCTTCTGTAATGGATCCATCTCGTGAATCTTCTGAGCAAGTTTCATGTACGAGCTCCCATCGAGGATGTGTTCCATGATCGCCGCCGCTTCGATCTGGCCAGGGTGATGCTTCAGCTTGTGAGTCAGATGATCGGTGAATTCAGGTTTTCCGGTCATCACCTCAGCGAAGATCGCCGACAAAACCTCCGATAAAACGGCGAGAACATTCGCATCGAACAACACCATCGACGCCAAGCCAGATCCAACGGCGGTGCCATTGACGAGCGCCAGACCTTCCTTCGGTTGGAGATCAAAGAAACCAGAGGTGATTCCAGCGGATCTGAAGGCCTCCTCGGCGGTTAGGGTTTCACCGTTGGGACCGGTGGCCTTTGAATTTGGACGGCCGGTGAGGAGTCCGGCGATGTAGGAGAGAGGGACGAGATCGCCGGAGGCCGTGATGGTGCCGCGAAGAGGGAGACAAGGAGCGATGTTGTGGTTGAGGAGACTGGTTATGGCTTCGAGGATCTCGAATCGGATTCCGGAGTATCCTTGAAGGAGAGTGTTGATCCGTACGAGCATGGCGGCTCTCGTGGTGGACTGAGGGAGTGTGTGGCTTTTCTCCGTCGCGCTACCGAATATTCCGGCGTTCAAGAATCTGTACGGACACGTAGGATTCAGATTAATTAGTGATTAATTAAAATTAAATGAGGTTTTGTTTCCATGCAACGTATTGACAATGAACCTAATAAATTTCACGTCCCGGCGAGTTTATGAAGAATTATACTCAACAAAAACAATTTTTAATAAAATAACATATAAAATGTATAATTTGTATAAAATAAAATGTATATCATGTAATATTTTTTCATAAAATAAATGGTAAAGTGTGTTATCTCTTGGGTAAAAACAAAATTCATACCAAATTCAGATTCAAATCCATTTTCTACCAAAATAATTTCCCACGAATTTTTAATTTCCGTGATTAGTACTCAACTGAATCTACAGATTTTGTCGACGATACTTTCAGAAGAAGAAAAAAATCAATCAGTTGAGGTTAGAATTGTTGAATGTATACCTGATGAGCTCCTTCTGGAGTGCGACGCCATTTTTGGTCCTTCGGTGAGAAGTAGCCCCGAATCCAGTAGTGACACCATAACTGTCGGTACCTTTGTTCATGCTCTCCATCACCCAGTCGCTACTCGCCTTCACCCCGGCCCTCGCCGCCTCCGACAGCTCAACCTTCACGCCGTCCACGGCGGAAGCGATCGCCGCGACCTGACCGATCGTCAGTGTCTCGCCGCCGAGCCTCACAACCGGCCTCCGGTGCTCCTCCACCATCCTCTTCACCTCATCAAGATGGCTCCCCTTCATCTGCTCCGCCGCCACTCCCCAGTTCAACGGATCCGCCGTCGGAGATTCGCAAAGCTTCTCGAGCCCTCCACCGTTGATGGCGTAGACATTGTTCTCCTCGCGCCCGTTGATCTGCGATGCGATGACCTCCATTGATGCTAAATTCGAAGCTGATGAGAGAGAGCGAGAGATGTCGAGATCTAGCTAGGGTTTGGTGGAGAAGGAGATTTGGGAACAATTTGGTGAAGGGAATTGGAAATTTGTTCCTGGAGGAGGAGAGGAAGGAGAAGAGTGGTTTATATAAGCGTCGGGGGGCGCGTGAGTGCATGTTGGTAGGTAAGCACAAGAGAGTCTGAATTTCAACATAAACTCTAAGGAAAAAAATCATATTCATACCCAAAAAAAAAAAACTCTCAAGGAAAAAAATCGTATTCATACCCAAAAAAAACTCTCAAGAAAAAAACATTTATTTTTTATTTATTTATTTCCAAAAGAGAGGGTTGGTTGAGAGTTAAAGAGGACCGTTGGATGAAGGAGGAGATTGAGCGGTGGAGATTGAAAAGCGTGGATTTGGTTTGAGTCGCAAAAGAGAGAAAATCTCCCAAGCGGTGGCCATAACTCTTTCTAATATACATATAATTAAACATTAATCCTTTATTAGTGTTTTTTTCTAATCGGATGTTGTATGTCGAGGTTCAAACTAATCCCGAAAGCACTCGAACTAAATAGAAAATTTATATATATAATATCATATGAAATTTTCAATTTTATTTCATGGAGTTAGATCTTATGGTCATTGGGAGAGTGGTGGTGGCAGCTGGTGGCTGAGGACAATTTTAGTGGTTGGTGAGAATGGGAGTAGGTGTTTAATTCCAATTACGTAATCGTTACAGTCAACGTCCCCCCACCCAAACCCTCATTTTTTTCAAAACTCGTTTTTTATTATTATTATTACTATGAAGTTTTTTTAAGTAATGGGATGTTTTATACCGACATTCATATTTATTTCAGGTCGGGAACAGCTTTTATGAATGGAATTACGATTTCATCTCCAACTTAAGATTTGTTACGAAGTTGTTGCTATATTATTTGTGGATTCCTTTCATTATTATTAGGGGTAATCGCATAAAAATACCCGAACTTTTACAAAAATCCTAAATAAATATCCGAACTATAAAATTATCATATAAATACCTGAACTTTTCAAAACTCCCACATAAATATCCAAACTTTTAAATCTTTTCCAAATCAAACAAATGCGACTGCTGAGTCAGCAAAAAACTGCTGAGTCAGCCAAAAAAACTGCTGACTCAGCAAAAAACTGCTGACTCAGCATTCAAAAATATTATTAAATATCCAAATATTCATCTACATGTATTTAAATTAATATATGCATACAAATTCACATATATATATATACAAATATATATATATATATATATTAAAAATAAAATTATTTATAATTAATAAAACATATATACACATAACTACAATATATATATATATCATTACTAATGCATATATATTACAATAAAAATAATTATAATTAA